TAAGAGTTTTTATACCTTTAATTTTGTGCAAACAATGAACACTGGAAAAGGTGGATATAAATTAAGTGGCAACACTGGAAAGTCCTCGCAGAGGAAGGGTTCCCCGGAGCACTCAAGGAAGCGATGGTCCATCCTCTCTTGAAAAAACCATATTTGGACCCGGCCGAATTGGCCAACTATCGGCCGGTTTCCAATTTGCCCTATTTAGGCAAACTTACTGAGAGGGTGGTGGCGTCGCAGCTACAGGGCTACCTGTATGAGGCTTCCGTCCTCGATCCCTTCCAGTCCGGCTTTTGCCTGGGCCATGGGACGGAGACGGTACTGGTCGCGCTGACTGACGATCTCCGTAGGCATCTGGATCGAGGTGGCGTGGCGGCACTGGTGTTGTTAGATCCGCCGGCTGCGTTCGACACGGTCGACCCCCAGTTACTGGCCCGCCGCTTCACTGACACAGGGATTCAGGGGCTTGCTCTTCAATGGTTCGCCTCTTTTCTCCAAGGTCGGGGACAGAGGGTGGCGATTGGGGACTAGCGATCCCGAAGGCACCCCCTTGAATGTGGGGTGCCCCAGGGAGCTGTGTTGTCCCTGATGTTGTTTAACATCTATATGCGCCCCCTCACCCAGATTGCCCGGAGGTATGGGCTTGGGTGTCATCAATATGCTGATGATACCCAGCTCTATCTGATGTTGGGCAGCCAGTCGGACTCTGGTCCCGATGACCTTTATCGGGGGTTACAAGCTGTGGCTGGTTGGCTCAGACTGAGTTGGTTGAAATTAAACCCAGCAAAGACGGAGGTCCTGGGCCTGAGTCAGACCGGGCTGGGGCTCCCTCTCCCGGCCTTCGACGGGATGCCTTTGGTGCCTGTGCGGGAGGTTAGGAGTTTGGGTGTGCTCCTGGACTCCTTAACAATGGAGACCCAGGTGGCAGCCACTGCCACGTCAGCCTTTTACCATCTGCGGCTGGCTCAGCAGTTGATCCCCTACCTCGACCGTGAGGACCTGGCCACTGTGATCCATGCAACGGTCACCTCGAGGCTAGACTACTGTAACGCTCTCTACTTGGGGCTGCCTTTGTCGCAAATCCAGAAGCTGCAGCTAGTGCAGAATGCTGCAGCTAAGCTGTTGATGGGCCTCTCTAGGCGAGACCACATCCAGCCAGTGCTGCAAGCGCTGCACTGGCTGCTGATAGCATACTGGATTCGCTTCAAAGTGCTGGTTCTTACCTTTAAAGCCCTGAATGGTCAGGGTCCGGCTTACCTAAGGGACCGCCTCTTCCCATATGTTCCCTCAAGAGCACTACGATCAGGGAGTCTCCACCTCCTGGAAGTTCCAGGCCCCCGAGACGTTACGTTTGCCCAAACTAGGGCCAAGGCGTTTTCTGTGGCAGCTCCTAACTGGTGGAATGAGCTCCCGGGGGAGATCCGGTCCCTGCAGGACCTTACACAGTTTCGCAGGGCCTGCAAGACGGAGCTCTTCCGCCAGGCTTTTGAGTAGGAGCTGCCGCCGCTGCCACTATTCCACCACCGTGGCACTGTTCCATCATCTACCCCCATTATGGGGGGGTATGTGTCGCCTCACGGAAGTGGGGAGAACATCACTGCTGGAGCCCTCGCTATTTAATAAAGCTGGCCGTCGATTTGGGATTACTGTCCATCTTGGGGATTTACATACAGGATAATAGAGCACCTTAAATACTGTTATGAATTTTATTGTGGATATGTAATATTGTTTTATTGTATTTTATCTATTTAATCCGGCAACAGCTGCTTGTTAGCCACCCTGAGCCGTTTGGAAGGGTGGGATATAAATCTCAAAATAAATAAATAAATAAATATAAAGTGATCCTTTGAGAAACAAATAGGGAAATCCACTGAGCGATCTGAAAGATTCTACCACAAAAGTACTTAAACATTTTAATTACCTATTCAGCTATTTTACCCACTATAATCAACCAAGTAAAGCCTTATTTAGCGTTTCTTCAATAATTGTGCAGCACTCACATACTGTGGGGACACAGTACCTTAAGCATGCTCTACCACCATTTAGGACAAAAAAACAGATATGGAAAGTCCTCCTAGCTGTACCCAGTTCTTGTTGACATTAGCTTAAAAGAGCTTTTGAAAAACAGGAATACTGCTCACAAGCTGGTGATTAGTCCTCCCAGGGAGTACCTGTATGTATTTTAGAGCTTTAGCTGAAAAGTTTCCCTGTGACCTTTGAACCCACTTTCTCTAATTTAGTCATATTACATTATGGCCATGTTTGCCCACCCCAATCCTGCCTTTTCTTCCTACACAGACTTCCTGTATGCATTGTCTATCCTATGCCACTTAGAAGTATATTTGGTCCCAACCTGATAAAACTTTTTGACCTGGGCATGCTCCTTGGATCCAATCCATACAATCCCTTTTTGGTACCTCACTAACAATGCAGTGTTGCTGGCTCTGTCCATACCACAATACTTCTGCCTGCAAAGTAGAACCACTGTCGTTGCTTAACTGCCCATTCATCGTTTGGAGTCAACCCTTCTCTACTAGATAACCTTATGTTTTCCCCACCATAACTTTTTTCTCAATTATTTTAAGAGCTAAGCACAGCTCTTGAAAGCACCACAGTACACAGTATCGCAAGCACTCTGCTAGATGAGGTGAAATGACAGAAGTGCCTAGGAAGTAAACTACAGCAAACAACGTTATTGTTCGGTTCAGAGAAACTGTAGATGCACCAAGGAAGGGGTAAAGGAGTAGGCACAGACAGGACAGATATGCTTTCTAAAAAGCCTATCAGAGGCAATGAGCTACTTTAGTACTGTAGTCCACTAGGATTACATGAAATAGTTTAACATATGATCATGTTAACATTTATAACAATGTGATTAATGAAACAGTTTAACAAAATAAGACACACTATGCAAAAAAAGAGGGGTTCTTATTGAGGGAATGGGTGACAGCTCTTCAGTATACACATTCAATGATACAGGCATGCAGCACAAGAAAAATATCTGTACATCTGGTGATGCTTCTTTATTTAATATAAAAATGATCCTTTGGAATCCCTCACACTATGGAAGTTTTTGTGAAGTGTCATAGAAAGAAAGATCTCAAAGACTAGCAATCCTAAGAAGAGTCAAAGGTAAAAGGTAAAGGTTTCCCTTGCTCAAAAGCTAGTTGAATCCGACTCTAGGGGGCGGTGCTCATCTCCATTTCCAAGCCAAAGAGCCAGCGCTGTCCAAAGATATTTCTGTGGTCATGTGGCCAGCATGACTGAACGCCAAGGCACACAGAATGCTGTTACCTTCCCAACAAAGCGGTACCTATTTAGCTACTTGCAATTTCTTGCTTTCAAACTGCTAGGTTGGCAGGAGCTGGAGCTCACTCCGTCACACAGCACTAAGGTCTCGGACTGCCGAACTACAGAACTTCCGGTCTCCAGCTCAGCGTCTTAACCTCTAAGCCACAGAGTTATGCACTTCTAAATTCACTGACTTCAACAGAGTCAGAAGGGGATAATAACTCTGTTTAGGATGGCACTGTAGTGTATGGAGGCAGTATATTGCAGACTGTAATTAAAAACAAGGCTAATTACTTTTCAAAGCAAGAAAATAAAAAACTACACATTAAATGCTTGAAATTTCACCTCAAGCCACTTTGTAGGGACACTGTTTCCTTAGAATTTTGTTACATTATGAAAACTTGAGACAAAGTCTTCTGTACATTTAAACAGTAAGAACACACCAAATTTCAGCATTCCTTCTCTTTTCAGTTATGTTTACAATTAAAGATGGACTATTTTTAAGCTTCTAAACTTAAACTCAATTTTTGTTTGTTCTTTTATATACCACAATTATTAACAAAATTATTATAATTATTAAAATTATTAAACAAGTTTATGAAATTTGTTTCACTTTTTACAAGCTAGTTAGTGGGACATGTGAGAATCTCCTTTAAAAACCCTGGAACAAAGCAATTACTTGAGTATAAGTATCACATCCACCCTTTTCATTTCATTGACAGTTATGAGCTTCCTAAAATCCCTGTAAATAAAACTACAAACAGAAGAGTTAAGAACACAGTGCATACATCCTGAACATGTGAGAAGGTTTTATTACTATATTATTCTAGGCATCACAATGTATTTCCAAATGAGAGATGAACACTCTAGGTACATACTACATTTGGATTCTATATTTTAACAGAATAAAGATGGATAACATTCTTTATAGCAATATTCCACATTATGCGGTCCCCAAGATGACGCCTCAGAAAGAATAGCTACTAAGAATACTCACATTCTATGTGTCACTCCATGTGTTACTTACCCATTTATCTAAACAACACCCTGCAGCTCTCCCGAACTGAACACGATCCTCCATTTCCCGAACCTCGCACACAACCATATATACACACTTTGCCATTACAACTCTTCAGTAATTGGCTCACTGAGAGGGAGCTGTCATGGTGAAGCCCTTCCTCCCTCTCGATGCCGGCAAGTCACAACCATGTAATGGGAAGGGAAACAAGGGTACTTTCCTCCAGAGTGAGGCAGGGTCCCACAGGAAGAAGAGATGGGGGCGGCGGCGGCGTAAGAGCTCAGAGAAGTTACAAGCTCCTCCGTAACCGCCTGCCAAGAAGTAGCCCAGTATCATCCGCCTACCAAGCTCCAGCAGTTGCTGCCAACATACCGCATGGAGAAGGCAAGGCCCACAGCTGTCTGGAGACAGACCGGAGCCCAAGGCAGGATCAAACCCACCAACGCTTCCTTCCGCTCACCCAGCTGCTAGCATGGCTAACAGCCTTACATGCCAAACTGTTCCGCCACTTCCCATGCGCTTCCGTGGGATAAGACCCATACGGGAGGCCGGTGCTTCATGAGCGGCCTACGCCTCTTCCCGAGGAAGGGCCGCAGCCAAGGGACAGGCACGGACCAGGAGAGGTAAGCAGGCACTCAGCAGGGGGTCGCGTCTGAAAGGGGAAACGTGAGACCACCGAGGCTTGGTTTACCTGAGGTCGCGGACGGAGAGTCTCTCGAATCCAAAACCAATTCTCAGCCCCAACAACACAAGATGGCTGCGGCGTCGACACGCAAGGTCATGTGACCCGCTCTGACCGTGGCTCCTCCCCCCTCTCCCTGCCGGCTGAGAACAGAAACCGTCTGCTTGGGCAAGAGAGAGCTTCGGAACTTGGGTGCTAACGGCGGCAGCGGGACGGCCGCCCATTCTTGCGCGAGATAGTCTTGGACCTTACTCTTTAATCACTGACCTCGCTTATCAGGTTCCTGGCTTTCCAGTTCAGATGGTGCCGTCTGTGGTAACAAATGCCAAAGGGAAAGACATCTTTCAAGGAATCTCCACAAGTAAAAAAAAATAAATCTGAAACTATTTTACTGCAAGAGAGTTAAAGTGTCTTTATCATAAACAAGCGTCTACCCTTTTGCAACTCGCTTTAGTCCCAGTCATCCAACATCCTCTGGAGATTATTCCCCACCATCTACAGTCTAGTAGCTTGCAGGGGACATGGTATGTGTATAAAAGGTAAAGGTTCCCTTGCTCGAAAGCCAGTCGAATCCGACTCTAGGGTTGCGGTGCTCATCTCCGTTTCAAAGCCGAAGAGCCAGCGCTGTCCGAAGACGTTTCCGTGGTCATGTGGCCGGCATGACTTAACACCAAAGCGCACGGAATACTGTTACCTTCCTACTGAAGTGGTACCTATTTATCTACTTGCAATTTCTTGCTTTCGAACTGCTAGGTTGGCAGGAGCTGGAACTAGAGATGGGAGCTCACTCCATCATGCGGCACCCGGGTCTTGAACTGCTGAACTACTGACCTTCCACAGCCTGCAGTTCAGCATCTTAACCACTTGAGCCACCGCAGCTCCATGTGTATGTGTATAGGTGGCAATAAATTAGCAAGATCTCAACTATGAAGTAGTAGGAGCAGCCCAGACAGCTGCTTGTTATCTAGGGAATGGTGTTCCATGCTTTGAGATTGTTAACAGGGTCTGACCAGATGATCCGCTGTATAATCGATTGATCAGTTTTAATTTACTGTCAAAACCTCACTGTTGCTAATGGAAATTATCATCTCCACCTGTACACACAATAATTACCACTACTTGGACTACAATAGCTGTTTACAGTAGATTATAATCTTCACACAAATGCATAGTTAAAGATTGGGAGGAGACTCCTTTACCTGGCTTGACTGTGCCTGCACAAGGGCAAACAAAGGCAGTCCAAAGTTAATTCATCTCGAATAAATGAATTTGAGAATATTTCCTAACAAGTGTACTATGTAGAACAGGTGGTATTCTCTCCCTTCTATAGTTTCCCAGTTCCAGGGTAAGCCTTGGCCCCTAGAAACAATGAATGAAGTGCAGAACTCATTAAAAAAAATTAACATTGGCAAATGTATGAGATAGAGGTTGGGTTGGTAGAATTATCCTTATCAAATTTAATTTATCACATATATCCCATATCTACTTACACTACGAATAGGCACGTGTACTGAGCAGAAGAAAACCAAACGTTGCTTGGCATGTGGGTAGCTGTCCAACAAAAAGACTGAGGTGAACCACTGCAAGTGTGGGCAATGCTGCTGAGGCTCAGCTTGCTCCCAGGTTATCTAGCCAAATATATCCCTTATCTTTTTTATTTATTTATTTATTGCATTTATTTATTGCCCATCCCATAGACAGGCTCAGGGCAGGTAACATCATTATAATGATTTCAGTTTAAAACATGATAAAACATTATAACAATTAAAATGAGAGCCAGTTTGGTGTAGTGGTTAAGTGCGCGGACTCTAATCTGGGAGAACTGAGTTTGATTCCCCACTCCTCCACTTGCACCTGGCTGGATGACATTGGGCAAGCCGTAGCTCTGATAAGAGCTGTTCTTGAAAAAGAGATTTCTGTCAGAGTTCTCTCAGCCCCACCTACCTCACAGGGTGTCTGTTGTGGGGAGGAGAAGGGAAAGGGGTTTGTAAGCTGCTCTGAGACACCTTTGGGTAATGAAGGGCGGGGTATAAATCCAATCTCTTCTTCTTCTCTTCTTCTAAAACAATGGGTACAGCTTGAAACAGCATCAGTTGGCTATAAAGTTCTGGTCCAATGGTGCAGTGAGTTAAAGGCCAATTGTCGCTGGTCAGTAAATAGACGGGTGACAGCAACCTCAGGGAGGCCATATATGGGTGCCCACTGCCTCAACCATGTGCAAGGGAAAAACATGGAAAACTAGTACCACAGGGAAAAAGTGAGTTGGAGGAGAGGGAGCAGGGAGAGAACAGTGGGGCGGGTAACAGCAAGTGGGTGAAGTGAGCACAATGACAGGAAAGACTGGGCAGGCAGGCAAGAGGACTGGGAGGGGGAAAACGATCAGGAGGGTGGATGGTGGGTGACTGGTGGGTTAAACAAGACCAAGTGCTTGGGGTGGATCAAAGCCGTAATATATTGGATGGGGGGGGGTGATTTAAAAAAAAACTAGGTAAAAGTTTAATATAATAAAAAAGTAGCAGTAGCTGGTGATAATGCCATCTCTCTTGTTTTGTTGACCATTTTAAAATATGTAATGACTTAGAAATCCCAAACCCTTCAAGTCCTATGAAAATAGAATAAAACTTATTGATAAATTCTAACACAGCAGAATCTGCAAGTAGCCACATTGGTCCAAAGCAAAATTCAGTAACCAGTCTCTCTCTGCTGGAAAAGAGCAACTGTTAGATCAGCAACTGTGCTGAAATGTTTCCTCTAAGGTTTCTGAATACTTCCATGGTTATGTCCGAATACTTCCATGGTTTATATTTTATTTGTGTCCATATATTCTTTCACATAGGAATAAATCTGTTTTCTTGTACAGAGAGCAGGAGGACTTTATTAACACATGATGGAATATAGAGCATCAGAAAATGTGCAAGTGTCTAAAGCCTCTAAAGGCTTTTACACTACCGACAGTTATGACTACAAGGAAGAAGGTAACTTACAGCAATTTAATGACAAAAGAAACGATATTGAAATCGGATAGCATGTTAGAAGAACAAGGGATAGCATTGACATGGTGGGATAAACACATAATACAAACAAGGTTTAATATAGACAAAAAAATAGGATTTTACAATTGTCCATCAGAATTAGATAAAATTTGGCTCTCGACAAGCGATAAACTAATACAAAAAATTTATAAAAAACTGGTGAAAGACGAGGAGCCAGAAGTAGAAGTGAAGGATCTTAAATATAGATGGGAAAGAGAAATAGGTCACAAATTAAAGGATGAAAGCTGGATTAAAATATGGAAATCGATAAAAATGACAAGAGCCGTACCACTCAAAGAAAACATATATAAAATCTATTACAGATGGCATTGGACACCAAATAAGATTGCAAAATGTTTTCCAAATGCCTCCAACAAATGCTGGAGATGTAAAAAGAACACAGGAACATTTATGCACATTTGGTGGAATTGTAAAAAAATTCAAAAATTTTGGAAAAAATTGCAAAAGATCCTAAATAAAATACTAAAAATAAATATACCTCTAACACCAGAGGTATTCCTATTAAACATGATCCCCGATGACATTAAAACTTATAATCATATACTTATATATACGATAACAGCGGCCAGAATATTAATTGCAAAAAGATGGAAAACAGGCACTTTACCCTACATAAGAGAATTAAAAAATAAAATATTAGAAATAGCAGAGATGGATAAAGTTAATACAGAGCTAAAACACAAATCAGAAGAAAAGCACTGGAATAGATGGAAACCTATATATAATTGGTTAGGGATTAAGAGGATTATATAAAGCGAGAGATAAGCTAGCACAAAAATATGGAAATGAAAGATATTAAGCGTAGCACTACCTAGTTAGAAATTAAAGGAAAATGAATAATGTTGTTATGGAATTATATGCAAAAGGTATGGAAATATGAGATATATTGTGATTGGATGTAACAAATTGAAGACTGTTAAACACTGGAAAATATGTTATAATTATGTTAAAATTAAATAAATAGAGTTGTAAAAAAAAAGAAAGAAAATGTGCAAGTGGATGGATCCAAGATGGTACAACTGAATGGACAAAATTATATATTATTTATAGATAATTATAAAACGGTATGGACAGAGATACAAAAAGATTTGGAAAGATGGTCTAAATGAAAAAAATATCTTGGTTGGGAAGGATCTCAGCAATAAAAATGAATGTATTGCCAAAATTAATGTTTTTATTTCAGATGATACCAGTTAACATAAAGGAAAAGACTCTGAAGGACTGGCAGAAAAAACAGGTTGCTTACCTGTAACTGATGATCTTCGGGTGGTCATCTGTGCATTCACACCCATAGTATCTAGTGCACACGCACTGGATCGATCGGCATTGTAGCAAGCTCTTTTAACTGATTTTCACGCCCAGACCTCGGAACCCCACCGCGCATGCCCAGAGGGGAGGGCGCGGACATCCCGCCAGTTCCTTCGAACTGCCGCAAATCAGCTCCTATAGAAAATGTAGAAGCTGACAGCAGCGGGCAAGGAGAGCGGTGTGAATGCACAGATGACCACTTGAAGATCATGTTACAGGTAAGCAACCTGTTTATCTTCGATGTGGTGTCTGTGCTTCACACCCATGGGAGATTAGCAAGCAGTGGCCTACCTGGAGGAGGGTGCTGGCAGGTCCTTACTGCGTCGCCGAAGATAGAATGTGACGTCCCATGTTGGTATTAGAGTTCTTACGGATGTCCAGGGCGTAATGCCTCATGAAGGTGTTAGGCGTGGCCCAGGTAGCAGCCTTGCAGATGTCCATCAGGGGCACTCCCTGGAGGAAGGCAGTGGAAGCCGCAACAGCCCGGGTTGAATGGGTCTTGATGGGGCCAGGCAACGGCTGCTTTGCAATCAAGTACCAGAGGTGGATGAGACCCGCAATCCACTTTGAGAGGCGTTGAGCCATGATCCGAGTCCCCAGCCTCACTGGTGCGTATGAGACGAACAGTTGGAAGTCATGTCTGGTTGGGCAGGTTCTGTTGAGGTAGAGCAGTAGTGCCCTTTTGACATCCAAGGTATGTAACAGTCTGTCCTCTGGGGATTTCGGAGCTGAGAAGAAATCCAGGAGGAAGACCTCTGCCTGTAGGTGGAA